CGAAAGATTGGAAGATTGATTGAAATATTGGGATATTGATCTAAATATTTATTGGAATATTAAAAGATTGATCGAAATATAAAATGATTAATCGAAAGCTCGAAAGATTGATTGAAATATTGGGACATTGATGAAACGATTAATTTAAAAGATTGGGAAATCGATAGAAAGATTTATGAAATGGTGAATTGATGACTAAGAAGAGCATGGAAGGTAAGACCGTCTATCATTTGAGTTGGACTGGTACATTCCAAGTCTCAAGGGCTTAGCACTATTGGTTCTTAAATCATAACCAACTATGGCTATAAAATATTGGTACCTGCTGATCCATACCATGTTATAATATAATCTGGGCAGAGTGGTCGCTACTTGTATGTTGGACTTAGTTTGGTCACATATACATACCTAAACTACATTACAAAAATCCGAGTAGCATAGTTATGATTCGCAGTCGAGGCAATGAGACGATGGGATGAATGACTTTCAGATTTTGACATCAGGTAAGAATTTGACTTGAAGAAAGGATTTTACTTGAAGTACTTAAAATACTTAAACTGTAAAATCAATCGTCCAAATATTGGTATGTCTGTAGTGAAAACTGTAATGTGTTATTGAGTGAGTGTAACGAAATTGGTAGCTTGAGTAATTAGCAAGTAGTGACAACATTCATGAATTCGCCGCGAAAAGAGGCATGTTATAGTTTTCAATTGTGTAAGGGCCTTTATAACCAAACTTCGTACGTCCGTCGTAAGTTCATTGCTGCAAACAAATAAAAAAAAAAAAATTTACAAATAGAAAAAAATGTTCCATAAAAATTGAACATTTTTGGCGGTATTGTGTTTTTAAGTACCCAAACCGCACATACACGTACATAACGGAAATTAATCAATGTAAAGAAACATTTTAAATAACATATAAAGCATGATTTTATAACTTTTACTATTGCACAAAATGATCTCGTGTTTCCAAATCTAATTATCAATTAATCTTCAGGAAAAATGTAACTAAATGTCATTTTACAATTACATAAACAAACATATGAATACAAAGACAGCCAAAACAACTGCACACTACACAGCCTTGTAAAGAATTCGGGATGAACGAGTAACAAAACGTGCAAATTTAGAAGGCTGTAATTTCATCCGCCCGTCCGTCAAATCTTGCCAAGGTTTGACGGACGGACGGATAGAATTAATGGTAACCTCTGATTGGCTGTTGGTCGTGTGATTGACGGACGGACGGACGCGACAGGTCGGTGTAAATCCTGACTATGCCATATATTAAAGATGAGGTAGACCGCTTATTCATCTTCTGCGCATGTATCCAACATTGACCTACCCCAATGGAACACAACTGTCAAAGTCACATGGTCAACAGTGATGAACGTGTTTCTTTATATCTTAATTTCCATAAAACAAGCACTATTATATTAATAAAATGCTTTCACCGATTCGAAATGAATCGAAATACATTACAAATTGATTAGAGGAAGTATACATTCATCTCAAAGTATTTGTGTACAGTTCAGTTTCCTAACCTAAAATCCAAACCGCGCCATTTTTCCTAGACGTGTAGGCAGAAAAGCAGTTCAATGTTGGGACACGGAGATAGGTTGCGCGCAGCCAGCGAGATCGGTCTACCTCATCTTTAGTCTATATATTTTATCCTAGGGGCGCAGTGTACCAAAAGGTAACCTTTAATTAAAAATTTAAGCAACGTGAGTAATAGAAGAAAAAGGTTTTACTTAGTTACGAAGTTATTTTATATTTGATTTATGATTATTACAATTATCCTGTTTTTTACATCGAAAATAGAGAATATCTGGTACATTGCCGACACTAGCGCTTACCTAGTGGCAAGAGGTTTTGTTTGCCAAACTTTTAACATCGCATTTCCCAACCTGAGTGGAATAAACCTTACCACAGCTAACCTTCTTGCTCGCACAAAATGCAACATTTTAAATCAACATTTGAAAAATGTCACTGCTCCTACCTGCATACAGTATTTTAACGATCGCACAGACTGACATGTGCCCAGTCAAGTTGGTAATGGCGGAAGGAAAGTGGTTCCCTGCCTTAGCGTTGAATTAAAACTGTTCGGCAAACATTTGTAAATACTGAAATTATTTTTGTTACGTGTGAATAAATCTAAGAGTGCGCAAATCCGTGAAATATTTACTTTTATAATAAGTGCACAATTCCACTTGACCGGTGCATGAATAAAGTAATGAGGCCCACGGCAATGTTAAATGTGCGTATGGCGGAATAACACACAATGCGCATACAAGTAAACTATACGCAGGGCTATCAAGACTACTCAGTTTACCGCGAACAGTGAACAGCCTATATCAAGTACGGCTGTTGACAGTTCAACCAGAACTTTGGATGGCCTTACTTCGGGAATCACTAACAAGGACATAACTTAATGCTCACACGGACTATTTGTTTTTAGGTGTACTGTGAGCGAGTTGTTATTCTCGGTTTCATAATCACTTTGTTTTAAAATTCGGGAGAGCTTTCGTAGTGCCTTGGTGAGTCCACCTCAAAACATTAATGACGCTTACATAAATATGTCTCATGCTGTATGTTATCTGCTATAGACTGTTCATAGTAAAATGAGCACTTTTGAAAGCCCTGCTTAAGATCTACTTGTATGCACGTTGTGTAATCTTCCACCTTATTTAAAATTAACATTTTCATGAGCCTCATCACTTTATTCTTGCGTTGGTCAAGAGAAAATATAAAATTATTTAAAAAGATAATATTTTACAAATTTACTTCATTTTACACTTCGGTGCATAAAAAACAGAAACAGAAATAAATAATTTAATTCAACACAAATGGTCACCTAACACTTTTTATTTAACGTTAAGATATAGAACTACTTTCCATCCATCGCTACCAACTTTGCTGGGCGCATGTCGCTAGGTGCGCGTGCTAAAATATATGCAGGTAGGGGCAGTGACTTTTTTCTACGGTAAGTTTCAAAAGTGCTCGCTTTATCGTGAACAGCCTTTACCAGCAATCTACTACGGGCGAAAATGGCATGTGCTGTATAAATAACCTGTAGCGCACAGTAGCATGTTGTAAGTTCTTCGTATTTACTTAAACTTTTACGCACAACGTATTATTCTAAGTACTGACAACACCTAAATATATTGATAACCCATCCGAAAAAAAAAGAGTGTTACATTTGAGCTTGTAATCAAACCCGGAACATCGAAGATGGGGATTAACCGTGGGTGTCATAACCACCTTTTTCCCGAGCACTCCTTTTTATAATCACCTGCGAGGGGTTCAGAACACGTTTTAAATTATTCTTCGAAATCGGAAGTGCTCGCAAACAAAGAGATCCTTTAATTGACTTTTTGACACTTGACCTATGCGAGATGCGCAAGTTGTTTTCGCAAATAATTCCCAGAATGAGTAAGCGAACTGTGAGAGGGCTGTAGGTAACAGCTTACGCAGACCTTTCCAATTACTGTACTATCGCATCGTCACTTTGCAATATCCGCAAGGTATATCAGAGTGAGCTGCGTGGAACATGAAACTGACGTTTTATTTGCGAATCGCGCCATACTTCTCCGACCACTACACCTCGCAACCTCTAGTTAATTAAATTGAAGAGTATTCTTGTAAAAAATTCGATGTTAAAAATTTTAATGGAATTCGGTGTAACTAGATCAATTTTAAACAGTCTCCCTTTCCCTGTACTGCCATGGAACTCTTGTATATTCTTTCACAAAAACTGATAGCATTATATATGCTACAGAAAAATATTTATGATAGAATATCGACTGGGACTACAGTAAATATCATGGACGCCTAAACTCATACTTATAAATTTACATGCGGGCTAGTAATCCATATTTAAAATCGTAAGAGTGCTAAAGCATCATAATGGTAGCGACTGTGATTACTGCTATGAAATAATTTGATGACAGCGACAGAAGGATGTATCAGCGTTTCTCTACAAACGCGCGCTTGTTCGACCAAACGGCGGTTCTGCGAATCGCCCTTTTTTTTCTACCAAACTCCGCGCTGGTTGTGCCTAATACCTGTTCAGCTAGATGAATGTTCGGCCAAACGCGGAATGGTCGGGATAAGATTTTAGAAAGGCGAAAGAAACTTATGCCAAACACCTATCCAGCCAAATGACTGTTCGGCCAAATGCCAAGAATTTTACAACTTGGAACTCATTTCATGATACGGTTGAGAGATAAGGTTTTCCAATGCCAATACCAACTGTATGCCAAAGAACATCAGTGCCCTTAGAGTCATTTCAGACATTTGACTTCTGCGTATTTTATTGCTGATGCAGGAAAAGTTGCGTGTTCGAAGTTGATGTTCGTGCAACATAAAGGTTTGATGATAAAGTTTTATATAATAAACTGTTTTTGTAGCTTGCGATTTCTCATTTTTACCTGTATTTTCTAGTAGTCCTCGTGGTAAGTTTTATATCTTCCATTTATTTTTCCTACTTATTTCAAGGCTATAAAAGGTGCAATTTGTCCTCTTTGTACTTTAGCTTTACATAACCATACGGAATGGCTGATATAAAGTGCCCGTAACGTAGAAAAGTTATTGCATACATATTATTGCTTGTCCTCGAAGTACAATTTAAGGAATGATTATTAATTTATGCATAGTGACGACCTTACTTTTATACACTTTGTCTCTCGTGGATGGAGGAGTATGGAGTCAATTTCGTCGGCTTACGTACTAGATTAGCCATAACGGCATTGCACTGCTTTTTGTGGCCATTGGTCCACGTGGATTCGTGTCTGTTTTACGTTGTTGATTTCTTAAATGTTAGAAAATTTCTAATATGTTGGTTGTAATTACGACCGACGTAATTTATAAATAGATATAGCTGCAAGCTAGACTTCATTAATTATGTCCCAGTCGCAGACTTTAAAAACTTAAATTTAATACCTATTTCGGCGTGCGGTGAATTACAATAATTCAATCACGGAGACCGATTAGAAAATGTAAAACATGTGCTTCCTGTGAGGTTTGAACTCGCGACCTCTGGTTTACGAGTATAGTGTTCTGCCATTGAGCTAAGTAGGCTTTAATCAGAGATTTTACACATTTATGAAATAACGAAAAATTTTACACTTTCGTAATTGGTGGTAGGTATCAGCCTCGTAGTATAAAGGGAAACAAATTTTATGTCTTGTATATTGGGAAATTTTTCTAATGTAACATCAAAATGTATCTCCTATTCGAGAAGTTCTTGGTTCTAACGACCTGGTTGGTAACCAGATTGAGTGAAGCCCCTTAAGGGGCGGTAAATGAGTAACTTCTGAATTATAATTATAGTTAGTTTTTCTGAGTAATGAATAAAATCTCTTTTGGGGTACTTATTTTGTCAGAAATTCCCGTACAAAATGTACAAAAATGGGCCAGATTTTGGTTGATAGTATGTATAGCATATAAATACACCACGGAAATACATATATATATATATATATATATATAATCTGTGCTACACTAAAAAAAAAATTACTAGAGAAGTGACAACATAACAGTTCTGTAAGCGAGCTCCAGAGTACCACACATCGGTATACATCAAAATGTTCTGCTGATTTAGTACAGTTATGTTTGTTGCAATAACAGATAGCTATGCTCTAGGAACTACACGTATAGTTAGGCAATATTTACAACGACTCGTCGCGTCAATCACGTGACCAACAGCCAATCAGAGATGGCCATTAATTCTGTCCGTCCGTCCGTCAAAACCTTGGAAAGCTTTAACTTTTGACGGACGAACGGATAAAATTACAGCCTTCTAAACTTGCACGTTTTGTTACTCATTCGTCTCGAGTTCTTTACAAGGCTGCGTAGTGTGTGCAGTTTTATTTTTGGCTGTCTTTTGTTTTCATATGTTTGTTTATGTAAATGTAAAATGAAACTAAGCTAGATTAATTGATAATTACGTTTGGAAACACGAGCTCCTTTTGTGCAATGGTAAAAATAATATTATTATGCGTTATATACTATTTAAAAATTGTTTACAGCTATTAATTTCCGTCACGTGATTGTATGGGCGTTTTGGGTACTTAAAAACACAATACCACCAAAAATGTTCACTTTTTATGGAAATTTTTTTCTTATTCGTAAACATTTTTGTTTTTATTAGTTTGCAGCAATGAACTTACGACGGAATGTACGAAGTTTGGTTGTAAATCGCTCGGCTGGGAGACGGACGAGCTTATGACGGATGAGCGGTCGACGAACGCACGCGACGGGTGGTTGTAAATCCTGCTTTACACGTAAAATAACAGAGAGGATCATGGCAGTGTATGCTATGGCTATAACTATATACGTTAACAATATTGAAATGGTACTAACAACCCACTTTACTAACCATATAGATGGTCGTGGCTACAAAATTTCGATTCCTACAATCACATTTTTTCTGAGTGTACGTACGCGGTATATTTACGAATTTGCATTGATTTATAAGCGCACACAAAAACACGGCATATTTGCTTACCTAATTAGAATGAGTTGGCAAAGTCGATTTTGTATTATTAATTGCCAAATTAGGTGCACCAAAGCCGTATAGGGGTGTTTGAGCATGTTAAAGTAATGTTATCATGTGTGAGTTGTCTTGAAATATTTTAGGACTCACTAGTGAAATGTTAATGTGAATCAATACTGGTGATAAATTTACCGTGTGTTTTACAATAAATTGATGAATGCGAGCTATTTGCGATGTTGGATTTTGTGATATTTTAAGTGTACGGTTATTAGTCGGCATTGCATCCCAAAATTATCGTAGTTTCGCAACTTTTATGAGATATTTAATGGTTTGAAGACGTGTGTCATGTTAAAACCAGTGTCGTTATGAACTTTAACATACTATTAATCTTCATGGATTTTCGTGAGAGCGCACATAATCTTCGTGATGATAAAAGGCATTCTACCCTGAAATTTTAAGAAAATAATACTAAAATTGTAAGAATTCAAATGATGGTGATTTTGAAAACGTCCAAAATATGTGGCCAGTCACTTTATTATGCTACTGAATATAGGTTATTCATGGTAAAGTGAGCACTTTTTAAAGCCCTATAATTTAAAAAAACTGTCAATAAATATATTTCATTTTAGCATTGGATGTTAACTTCCAGGTGCGGCAGAATATACACACTGTGGTTATTACTTACATGGCGATATTTATTTAAAAAGGTGGTTAAAGGATAAAAAAAATGGCTGAAAGAAAAAAAGTAACTATGGCCTCAAAAAAACTCACTTTAACGTGAACATCTTATAGAATTCAATGTTTAATATAATACATTTATAGAATATTAATTCAGTTTTAAAGTGAGGCGTCTTCGAGAGCGTCTTCCACTAACATAAATTTCACAGTTACTATTTAGTATCGCGTTTTCATCACTGTGCCATACGTTGAAACATTATCTACAGCATTAATCGATAAATCAAAGTGTCGCTCGGACGAGACACGAGGAAATAAAAGAAACACTAGTTACTTACGGGCGGATATTTGTCTGTAACGTGGTCGTAAATAGTTCTTAATTTTTTCAAGTGTGCATTAGCGTTGAAACACATAACAGACAGAAACTTGATTTCGGCTGTGAAAAAATAAAATGAAAATTTTCATTGTACTTGTAGATAAAGCTTGAAGGGATACTGCAACGTTAAGTATTTGCGTCCCTATTTGAAGGCATTCAGAAATTCTTACTAGGCTTTGAGAGGACAATTGCCATTAGTGACGCAGATATTTAGGTTCGAATAACTGAGGACTTTGATACTGGGTGCCGTAGATTTAAAAACTGTGGCCAACCTGGCAATATCTTAATATCTGAACACGGTTGTGAACTTATAAGAGGTGGTACGAAAAAAATCCCTCAGGAATTAGTTCCATTTTGCCTTCTCTCTAAAGAGCCATAATATCTCCTCGTACCCAGAGATTTGATTTCCAAAATGCCACACACGAAATGAGACAATGGGATCGAGCAGCGACGGTATGCAAGGGCGGAAAAAGTGCAAATACCCTGGAAAAAAAACCCTACTGGAAACCGTCAACGTCCGCCACGTTTCACACATTCAAAATTTCGGACTGACCCCAACAGGAATTGTGCCCAAGCCGCCGTGTGGGTGTGGTGGCATGGGGGGGGGGGGGGAGGGGCTGGGCTTTATTAAACTTTCCTCGTTAGTTATACAATGCAGTAAAATCATTCTCAAAACTCTGCAAAAACAACTTGTACGGGAAGTTTTGTGGTCATAATTAATGTTTACATTCGATATATCCCGTATTTCATTACACTAGTGTACTTATGCTGAGGCAACATAATAGTTTCAGTGTTAAGAAAATTCTGCTTGAAATGTTACGATTTTAGACCTGTTCTGATTTCGGTAATGTAAGACCACTGTGTTGGATCCAGGCCGCCAATAATCTCTCAACTTGCTTTTGCTTCTTTAGCCTCTACGATCATGAGCATGTCCTTATTGAGCAAATTTTCGTAGAGCTATTGTACTGCCAGGAATCGCAGTTGAATCAGAGATTAATTTGTCATTAGCCTCCCTCTCCTTAAACAAGCTGTCTTATCCTATCGTCCAAGCAAAGGAGAACGACAGATTGGTCTCTTCCATTTAGTACCTATATATTGACTCTGTTTCATGAGAAAATATCGGCTTCATTTATTAATATTTTTACGTTTAAATGTTCTTCCCTAACAACGACATATCACTTTATATACGGAAATAAGATCCAAACTTCTACGTGTTTTAATTCAAAACAAACTACTTTTACTAATTATATAAAGTTTTTAAAAGTATAATTTATACCATTTATTAAATTTGCAAATCCGTAATACTTATATTGAAATCCGAAGAAAATAACAATGGTGCAATTCCGTTGATAGGAATCGATTTTCGCATCCGCAGGAAGCGGCGCGTGCGGAAATATCATTTTTATTTCCTTCCCTATCCCATTTCCCCTGGCCCCCACCACCACCCCCCTGCTGCGTATATGAGAAGCTCATTAGGCCTCTCCCTCAAGCAGTTCCCCTCCTCTCTATCCTCCCCCCTGGTCTCATCATCCCTTTGTATCCGAGGATACGTCCTCATTTACCCACTTCTTCTGTCCGTGTGAATTCAACCCCCCATCACACACCCTTTTCTTTTGACGAGCCAACCGCGCTTGCGAGCTAGCCAACCCGGGGTACACGTCTTCCACGCTCGCTGGTCCTCGTCTGCGAGGGACTTTGCAGGGTTAGGGGGAGCAGCAGAAAGTTGGGGGGAGGGGGAGACAAGGCCTGTATGATCGTCAGAGGCAAGAAGCCAAAACGTTCAAAGAAACGGTTCGGTGGTGTTCGTCTGCTGCCCCGCCCTTCTTGGTTTTAACACCTTCCTGAGGTGCACCCCCACCTCTCCCTTCACTACCCCCCCCCCCCCATCATCCCCCATCATTGTGCAGGAGCACTCGAGGGGTGAGGTAGTATGGGTGAGACATCCTCACGCTATGGCGACAACTTCTCAGTCTGGGCGAGGGATTCCTCTGAGCTTACGGCAGCTTCCTTCGAGTTGATACGGGCGGCTCTTAACAACGAGGTCTTGAAAGCCAACGAGGGTATTAAGAGTTGAGAGTGGAGCAGCGCCGGAATGCAAGTGAAGGGAAACGGGAAATCCCTGAGAAAAAACCCGCCGGCCAGCGGCATCGTACGGCACAATTCCCACTTTCGAAAATCCGGGAGTGGCCCGGCCGGGGATTGAAACTGGTTTGCCTTGATGGGAGGCGAGCAGTCTATCCGCTCAGTCACCACGGCCCCAGCTTTCTTCCAAGCATGCTGTAGTCTATTCATTAAGCGAACGCCAATATGGGTTTCGCAAAGAAAGAGGAACTGACTTTGCGCTATATGATGTCAAGACTGCAGTTTCTAGGTGTCAAGAAAAATATGTCCTGGCCATATTTCTCGACATAGTAGGAGCCTTTGACAATGCCTGGTAGCCGAAGGTGATGTGGCAACTAAAGCAAAAAAAAAAAAGTGCCCTGTAAATATATACAGGGTCCTATTGGATTACTTGAAGGAGAGCGAGAGACA